CAGCAGTTGCAACAACGGCTACTGGTCAACAACGTGCAAGTGAATTTACGTTTTTGAGATCTCGCGTGCTGATTCCCAATATTTTTGATTTGTCTGTCGTGGGCAATGTGCGTTATACGCTCGTGGACACTGCTCTGGTGAAAGGGTCACTATGCTGCATGGTGATTGGCTGAAAAACTTTGAAATTGCCCTGAAAAGTTTGAAAAACAGGTGTTTGAAATTGGCAAATGCCAACATTTTTTAAAAATTGCTTGTGGTGACGCTTGGGAGGTCGGCCCACACTGCGTTCCGAGTTGCTTGATTGTTTTGATGTCCAAGATACCACAGGGAAGCAGCAATAGCGAGTGTCGATGCATTTTTATATTTGCGATGAAGACCATGCAAGAAGACATGGCGGTCAGCATCCTCCTGGACGCGTATCTCCAAAAGAAGCTGTCAACTTGCCACTGCAAGCTCGTGCAAGAGGCCAAGCGGCTGCACTTACTCAAGCGCGATATTGAAGGCTGCTTGGAACGCCTTGTGATTATTCGCGCCCAACTGAGAGCGGAAGACGACGCCACCGCAACGCAAGGACCGGAGACAGAGTCGTCTGCGAGTGAGAGGGACCAAGAGCACCAGCTTATGGCCGACATAACCGACGCCCTCAAGATCACAAAAGCCACCATCCGGGCGCTCGTCCGTCGCAAGGCGGCGCTCACCAAGTCACGCGCTAGCCTTCACAACCGCCAGCGTCGATTGGTCGAGCGCGCATATCGCTCGGGTACATTCGTCAGCTTTGCCTCCTAAATCAAGCCCGGCGCCAGCTCCCGGCGCCATCACAATTAAGAACGCTAGACATCCATAACTTAAGAAATATTGTTATCAAAAGCTTTGTAGTACAATAATCGATTCGACTGTGTCAGTACAGAGTGTACCGGTCGGCACACACGGCTGCACACCGCGACCTTGGGTGCGTCTGCTATGCCTGCGGAGAAACCGAGTTTCGGGACAAGTAAAACAGGTACTCCTTTTATCAGGCACACCTATCTCAGATACTAATAGTAGACGACTACACAAGCAACCAACGCGACGCATCTATGTACTGTACTGTCCCAGATGTACTGCACTGGCCAAAGTACACGTGAAGTGGACTGAACAAGCTCCTCATTCCACCGGCGAACGAGATTGTCCCAACCAAGAGTCATTTTTTCTCCCTTGTCCCAACGGAGCCAAAATTATGGCGGCCAAATGAAGGCTCAATTCCAACGGCCTCGCCCGTCCGGTCATCTTGTGCTCATTCTTCCTTTTACCCTTTCAACATGAAATCGTCCTGCCTCCTTGCCCTTCTCGCCGCGACGGCCGCCAGCGCCCAGTGGACCGACTGCTCGCCCGAGACCGTCGTCACTGTCAGCGACGCGCTCCAGTCGTGCGCCAAGAGCGCCGGCATCACCACCCAGTACGCGGCCCTCAGCCTCGTCGGTCTCTTGCGCGACCCGACGTCCGCGACGGCTCAAGCCTACTGCAAGCACGAGCTGCCGGGCTGCACCGACGTGGCGATCGCGAGCCAGAAGGCCAATTGCAGCTACAACCTCTACAAGGGCTCGTGGGTCAACTTGCACGACGTCGTGCCCACGCTCTGCGCCTCGGTGCCGACCACGACGCCGACCATGACGCCGGCGATGACAACGGTCCCAGTGTCCGTAGCAACAACGGCTCCCGTGAATGCGACGACAACGACCTCTGTGCCGGCCACGGTGGCGGTCAACGCGACGACAACTGCACCTGTTGTCAATGGTACGACGCCCAACACCACGACGAACGTCGTCCACGTCCTCACGACGCCGCCGTCGCGCGGGTGCACGCACGTCAGTGTCGCGGGCGATGCAACGTACTGCGTCGCGGGGCCGATTTGCAGCGGCGACGGTCTTTTGCCGGCGGGCACCAAGTGTCCTCTCAAGGGCGATGTGGCCGTCGCGAGCTGCGTGCGCGCGCTCCCGAGTTACGTCGACAGCGCAACATGCGTGCTCCCGGCGAACGCTGTGTGCCAAAAGATCCCGACGGGCGCGTGGGGCTGCGTGCTGCCCACAACCGCGTAGAGTCTCGCATCCCGTCGTGCATTTTGAACAAAAAAATGAATAAATAGATTATATACCGAGCACTCTAGAAGCCAGGTGTGGAAAGGGTCTTCTCGCTTTTGTACTAGTACGCGTGTAGCAACTTCAGCATTCCAATTCCAATATGGCTAGACGCTCAGCAACCCTCCTGACGGTGCTGGCTCTGGCGGTCACGATCGACGGCTGTTGCTCGACGTGCTTGGCGCAGCCGCTTGTCGGTGCCGTCGACGCGCTCAACTGGACAGCGTGCGCGGCGACGCAATCCGTCTGCTGCTTTGACGACGTGTGTCAATCGTCTGTGTTCGGGGCGCCCAACTACAACGTCGCGCAGCTCACATACGCGGCGGGCAAGGCGCAGATTCCGAGCGGCACGTGGCTCCAGCTCAATTGGCCAGCGGCGACCAACGTCAGCTACATGGTGCTCAAAACCGGGCAGCCCAAGACGTCCCAAGTCTTCAACACGAGTCTACCGGCAGTCTTCAAGGACAACTACTTCTCCATGTGTGCAAGCGTCGTTGGCGCGCTCTACTTTCGAGGGTTTGCAACCAACGGCTGCCGTGCGTCGCAAGAGATGGTCGTCGAGGTATACACATATTGTCATATCGTCCAACGATATTTAACGTGTTGGACGCCTTTATATATTACTAGATCATTCCAGGCAACGGCACCACGTGCAGTGCGATTCCGAGCGCGCCAGTGTTGACCAGCGACTGCGATCCGGTCCGCGGCGCGGTCAAAAGTACGTTTTTTGAAAAATACACCGAGGAAATGCGTTCTACTTTGCTAGATGGCGTCTGCGAGTGCATTGCCGACAAGTCGGGCCCGCCGCAATGCCTCGGCAACTCCCCGGTTAAAATGGCTGAAGAATACGCTGGCATTGCGGGCGCTGTGGTAAGGTTTTTCAATTTTTCAATCAACAAAGTCCGCGACTTAGCTGTGTACGTAGGTGTCCATCGTCGGTGCCGGCTACGGTTTGTACCGCCAGCGCCGCGCCAAGCACTTGAAGGAACGAGCAACGACGATCGCGCTCGAGACACCCCCGGTTCTGAGATCGCCACGAAAGAACACCGCCGACGTTCCAAAGCAGGTGGTGCACTGCGGCGGCCGCAGCGACAACCGGCATGACCCGGTCGAGTATTCGTTTTAACCAACAAGTCTATTGAGCCCTCAACAATTGATCAAGGGTCCATTCCCAGTCTATTGAATGAAAAGCCCTCAACGATTGCTTCACCGCAGCTCTGGGCTCTTGCTTCTGAACGACGACTGAGAACGCATCCATCTGCAAGTTGAAGACGCCTGGTTGCCGTCTTCGATTTTCGCCGAGTCGGAGATTGCCGTAGCGAGAACACATACTAGGAACAAATACAGAAACCCGTCGGTCCAAGGTCTCTGGGGCTACTAGGATACAAGAAATTCTTTCGACATGCAACTGGGTATGGCGGCGACCCCTCGCATCTCGCATGCCAACGTGCACGGAATAATAATATTCGAACCCACCGTATTTGCTCCCATATTGAAGCAGCGAATCTATGCGAATCTATGACCACTTCTCGCTTGCCGCCTTCTCCGTTGGCCGGCCGCGCGTCCTGACAAGCCCGCATCACGCTTCGATTGGGCCCGAATGCATCCATTCCAGCGGATCATCGCTGGCGTCTTTAAACCTCCATCAATTGATATTGCCCACGGTGGCGATCCAGCGGAAACGGCTGTCGCACCAGTTCACATCGTCGAGTCGGCGCCGGTTCGCACACGTCGTGGGGATCAGGAGCGAGGCGAGACACGGCGTCGTCTTGGTCTTGCGCCTTGCTTGTCGCGAGCATTACGTCAACGCACGTAGCAAAACCTCTTAGAATGCATATTACACGGTGTCGCCAGTGCGCAAAGAGAAACGCAACTTCAACATCAACCAGCCTCTGCGTTCTGATTGGCGCATCGATTTTCCTTTTGACCAATCAAATGCACGACCTGTACAAATCCATGCAAGGCGCGGGGGTTGCCTCCGTCGTCAAAAGATCTTTTACCCTTTCGACGACACATGTCCAGCGCCCTGGACCTCGAGTCGGCGCAGCTCCTCTCGCCCGACCAGCCGCGCTCCCGCCTCTCGCCCAAGGTACGACCATCATGCGTACTACATGGCGCTTCATGGCCATAAACTCATAGACCAAGAAGGTGCTGGCTGGCGGTGTCGGCCTCGCCTGCCTCGGTGTGCTGGCCATCGGCCACTTTGACGCGTCGTCGTCGCCCGCGCTAGGCGCCGCGACGCTCGCCGACGACGTCCTCGACACGACGCCCAACACGACCGTACAATTGCCCAATGCGACGGCGGCCATCGACCGCATTGGCAGCCTGCCGGACCCGGAAGCAATGACGCCGGCGCTGACGATGCTCGCGCTTGGCGACTGGGGTGGGACACTCGGGAAGGAAAACGGCGACCCGGGCTCGTGCTGCGTCATCTACAACGGCTGGGTCAACCCCAACTCGTACCGGTTCCAGATCGACTATTGGGCCCAAAATTACGTGGCCGAGCTCATGGCGCTCTCAGCGAACGAGCTTGCGCCATCTCGGATCCTCTCGCACGGCGACAACTTTTATTGGGTCGGCGTCGGCCTCGACAACGCCAAGTACCGGTTCGAGCAGTCGTTCGAGAAGGTATACAACCAGCCGTCGCTGCAATACGTCCCGTGGATCAACGTCATGGGCAACCACGACATTGGCGGCGCCAACTTTATCTGCGGCGACAGCGAGCCCTACTACGAGTGCTCGTCGCCGTCCGAGCTCGTCGACTACCTCGAACACCGGTATCTCGCGCAGAGCAGCTACAAGAGTCCGTACGGCGATCGGTGGGTGCTGCGGGACCACTACTACGTCGAGCGTGTCGAGCGCAACGGCGTGGTCGTTGAGATCTTCAACATCGACACCAACTACGCCGAAGGCAGCGGTGGCAAAGAGGTCTGCTGTCAATGCTACGGGTACGCCGCCAAGTACAACACGAACGCCGGTGTGTGTGGCAACACGGAGCGCGGCGCGCCGTCGTGCGCGGGCGGCAGCACCGAGCTCTACGACGCGTGCATCAACCGCATCAACGCATGGGCCGACGAAGGCTACACGCGGGCGCGCGCCGACATTGCCGCGTCGGACGCCGACTTTACCATCATCAACACGCACTACTCGCCGCATTACCACATGAACAACGAGAAGATGCTCAAGTGGTACGACCTCTGCAACGCGACGAACGTCACGCTGTGGATCAACGGCCACACGCACGGCTTCAACCACGACATTGCGACGTGGGGCACGCATTTCATCGAGAACGGCGGCGGCGGCGGCTACTTCACTGCCAACAGCCCCGTGATCGAGAACGACCTCGTTAAAAAGTACGTCGATCCTTCTTTCCGTCGGGCGCTCATCGAGTTGTTTCCCTAGTCAATGGCTCGTGGAAGGCCAGCCGTACGGCATCTTTGAGCTCAGCTTCTCGAAAGACTGGCTCAAGGCGCAATTCGTCACGTTCGACAACGACTGGGTCTTTGGCGGCTTCGACTACAGCAAACTCAAAGTCGGCGGCATTGCGCGCGGCCACTGCTGGTACATTCCGAGCGCCCATAGCGATGTTCCCAAGCGCGGTGTCGAGTGCAACTCGTCCGTGAACGGCGCGATTGGCGCTCCGCTCTGGTGGAGCTAAGGCCTGCCGTCCTGTGTTAGGTCTAGTGTTTTCTGCATCATAATTCTAATTTTTAATCTAGTTCCAACCGCTCGTTAGTGATGACGACGAGTGCTTGTGCAGTACCGTGCTCCAGGCGCGCTGTCGTGCACGCACGGCAAGCACGCAGCCGCAAACGATGCGGCTCCGAGGCCTCTCTGATCGAATCGCAGTTCTTCGTTCTGACCCAGGACAGTTGAAAGATCTCAAAGAGCGTCTACAGGTCAAGCTCAAGCTGTCCTCCGTCGAGTGGCGTGAGTCTCGTGCGCATGTACCGGTAGCATGGGCACGAGTAATACCACTGGATTCAAGCGGTGCGTCCGTTGGTCACCTGCGCAGAGACCAAGCCATCTCCATCGCGGACGTCGTGGGTGGCTGCAGGTGCTTTCGATAAACAACGACAACAGGTCCGTGTACGCTCGCTTGCATAGCCATGGGCGCGAAATAAGACGGCCTCCAAATAAGATTTACAATAAGACGTCCAAGTTGCACTTGCCGTTCATGTCGTCACGGCGTGTCTGCGCCGACCGACAGACCTCTATCTATGCACGCATTTGCGTTAGAAAAAAGGCTGCGCCTGTCCGCGGCAAAGCCTGCGACAAGCACTGCATGCGAGGTTGGAGCAGGCGCGCGAGGCGGCCAATCACGGCGGGGAAGAGCATGGCGGCGGCACACGCCCGTGCGTCATGCAAGGTTGTTGACACCCCCTTGGGAGCACTCCTCACGTGGCCTGTTTACAAACCGCGTTGAGAGACTTGGATTGAATCTTGCGCCAAGGTGATCGGTGCTTTTTTTCTTTCAACGTTCTATACTTGTTGTTTGTAGCGCGAATGGAATCTGGTAAAAAAAAGTGCGAAAAAGATTCAAAACCTGCTCGCGTTGAGTTTGCACTTGGAATCTGAATTTTAATGATGTATGGGATTGCATTTAAATGCATATGGACTTGATTTATCTTGGGAGTTGTATGTGGAATGATGAAGATGCATTAAAAAGAGCGCGCGAAATGCAATAAAATGACCACTGTCGCAAGCTGCTCACATGTGACAGGAACCAAAAAGGGCCAGTCGCGGTGGCTGCTAGAAGACGGGCTGGCGAACCGCGCCAGCTGGTCGCACATGCGACTGGACAACAACTTGGGATGTGGATTGGTGGCGCCTTCGTCGACTGGTCTCATTTCCCAATTCCACAGCCTCCACACACCATGGGCATCACAACCGCCGAGCGCCAGCAGTACCAGCTCAAGGGCATTGAAGCGTGGCTCGTCAAGCTTGGCCACCACGAGAAGGCCGCGCCGGTGGCCGACGACACGCCGTTCAAGGCGGAACTGAGTGCGATCAAGACTGTGCTCAAGCAGCATAAGTCGCAGCTCTCGTTTCTCTCCAAGCACGTCAAGGCGCCGGTGACGCCGCCGCGCCACTACTACACGACGGGCATCATTATCTCGGGCAAGCGCACGCCGTTCACAAAGTACGCGGCGCACAAGGGCCAGAAGAAGCGCCTCGACACGATCTACGAGACGGACCAGCTCTGGAAGGTCCGCGTCGACGAAGAGAAGGCCACCAAGACGGCAGCCGCCGTGCAAATGCTCATCCGATGAGCATGCCATGTGCACGCCGTATTTAACCTCCATTTTCTAATTTAACGTTTTGAACCAAAATGACTGAGTTGATACTGACGACCGTTGGCAACGGGTCGATGAGGTCGATTCGAATCATACTCAACGTCGTCTGCGCTTCTGCCGTCGGCAGTACACGTATCGTAGGAGAGAAGAGATGACATCGGTCGTCGCCATCGCCTCGTGCCTTGTAGCATGGCTCCATAGCACCCAGCCACCGGCGCGAAAGCGGCCTAGCGTCGCCAAGCAGCCCTTTGAAGTCGCTCAGATCAAAGCGCTACTGCATGCCCGGCCGTCGCACGTCTTGCCCAACTGCGTGCTGCCGCCCGTCGCGCCGCCGCGTCGGTACAAGCTCCGACCCGTCTTTGTGGGCGGTAAGCAAGTGCCCTTCACACTCAAGGTCTCTCGCCGATGCGCACTGCAGCGCCACCCACTTCATATCGTCGCGGAAGGCCCCACGCGCCGCCAGCTCCAGCAGCGGACGACCTTGGCGATGGCCAAGGAGCGCGCGATCGACCCCGAGCGTGCCTGTTAGCAGGGCTAATAGATGAGGATACATGATGTATCGCACGCTTGGAGCTACGTCTTCAACGTCCGTGGCTTTGGCATCGCTGGCGTCTATGCGCTCGGACCAGGTGACGTCAGGCGCCTCCAAAGATCCGAGCTGCGCAGCTTCAACTTGATCGGTGCCACATGTCGCACAGGGTTTGTATGGACCACTGGGATTGGTTGATTGTTTCGTGTCTTTTGGCCAATCCACATCCTTTTTCAGACTGAAACTCAACCCGTCTGGATTGAGCCTCGTGATTCGTCTAAATAAACACCACTAGGAAGATCAAGACCGATAGATCGCGGTGACTCTTGAACGTAAAATGGCGTGATTCTAGACAACCTAAAACAAGTATAAAAGATTTCGTCGACGATGGCGTTCGAGATCCATGGACCCACCGACAGCGTGACGGCCGTCTGCCTCGGCGCCGGGCGCTTCCTCGTACGATGATACGGAACCATGCGCCGTCGCTTATCTTGGCGATCGTAGCGCTCGTTGCTTGTGCCCGCCCTGCGCCAGCTCGGCCATGGCGTCGTCGTCGCCCAGCCGCGAGGACACGACTTTGTCGACGCCTGCCTGGCAGCTGGCAGCACGTACGAGATGGACGTCATCGAGCGCGACGGCCATACAACAACCCACACGGTATCCTCCATCGCGATCTCGCCCATAAAAAGGCTTTCAATCATGCTCCGTAGGTCGAGCTCGCCGGCGTCGGGACCGTGGGCACGCCGGACGGCCGCGCAGCCTTTCTCGAGCTTCCATACAAGCTACCGTATCTGCGCTACATCGGCGTCGGCGTCACGGAAGCTGGGATCCAAGCCGGCAGTCCAGCCATGGCGGATCTCGCCTCGTTCTTGGCCACTTGCAGTGTCGCCTTGCCCCGTACGACCTTCCTCCTCAGCTCCATGTCGGTTCACATAGATACGGCGTGTAGATGCTACGCTCTCGGTGATCAATACGGACAACCTCCCGGCCAACGGCGACACGATCCAAGCGCTCGTCCTCGGGCTCTGCACGCTGGACGTCGCCGCGTACATTGGTGCCCACGTGACCTTTCACAATTCGATGGTCGACCGCATCACGGCCGGTCGGCCCAGCAACAGTCTCGTGCCCTACTCCGAGCCGCTACCTCCAAAGGCGCTCGTCCTGGAAGACACGACGTTGTCTCTGGACGCGTCGTGGGCCGCGCTGCCGGGTGTTGTCGTCCTGCGCACCCCCGGTCCGTATCCTCTTCAGCAACCTCAATTCTCAATTCTCAATTCGAATGTACTAGGCGAGTTGAGCGCGTACCACAAACTCAAACTCAATATTGCCAACGCGACGCACACGGCAATGGTCTACTGCCTCGCGCTCTCTCGTGTCGCCAACACGACGTCGACAACCGAAGCACTCTACACGTTCCTGGACGAGCTCTTTCGGCGTGATATTGCGCCGGCACTGGTTCGCCACGACCAGATTCCTGCCGTACTAGATCTCGTCGAGAACCAGATGTGAAACGCGACGCTGGTAGGCGCTGGTGCAGAGCGTGTACGACGAGTGGATCCATCGATTGCGCCACCCGTACTTTGGCATGGACACGTTTTTCGTGAGCCAGAACGCATTTACAAAGTTCGAGATCCGACTCTGGCCGTCCGTGCTTTCCAATCTGGCGGCAAGACGCACCACTCGTTACCAGATTATGTAACACGCTGTCGCTGCGTAGGAAGACGCAGCGTACCAGCCTAGTGCCATGATGGCTCTGGCCACGGCCTTTCTCTTGCGGTTCCTGACCCCCGCGCCAACTTCTGTTGTGAATGCCACCGGCCCAGTGTTTACCGGTGCGCACTTCTGCTGCCACCGAGTTGTTTCAGAGTACCCGCTAGGCTTTATGGACCCGATGACACCATCCACGACTCAAGGTCGGCGCTGGCACTACGTGGGCGACCTGTTCGCCGATACGAGTGGCGTCGGCATCTACACGTTTCGCGATGGAAACGGGTCTGTGCCGTCGCGCTTGCACAACGCCAGCTCGACGTCGATCGGTAGGCGTCTTTGGCTCGGCATCAGTGTCCCACAAGGCGAAATGTAGCGGTCTTGGCGGTGCTCGAGACGCTCCCCGGCTGCGACTGGACGCGCCCGACAATGCTGCACTTTGCCGCAGACGTGGCCGCCTTGTACCACCGTCTCTTGACGTACAGAGATGTACTCTCTCGCGTCCACTAACATGTTGTATTTTGGATAGAACGCCGGCGCTGACTGTTCTAAAAGACGTTTTGAGCCACTTTACAGCGCCGCCGACGAGCGCGCTCACGTCTCCCGACGCAGTGGCCGCCAGCGTCCAGGCGCACGTCGCCAACACGCCTGTGATTGACGTGCACACCCACTTGTTTCCGCCGTCCCACGACGCACTCATGCTCTGGGGCATCGACGCGCTCTTGACGTACCACTACCTCGTGGCCGAGTACCTCAGCACTGCGCCCATGTCCCCCGACGCTTTCCACGTCCGTTGCATTTGGAGAATCCACGAGGAATAAGAACCCTAACCCGTCAACATAGGCGCTCGCGATGACAGCGCAAGCCGACGCGGTGTGGCAACATCTGTTTATCGACCGGTCGCCGCTCTCCGAGGCGTGCCAAGGCGTGATCACGACGCTCTTTGAGCTCGGTCTCGCGTCGTTGGTGGCGCAGCGAGACCTGCGTGGCATCCGCGGTAGCGACTTTGGATAGAATGTCTGCTGCACTGTGTCTAGCGTGGTTCCATGCGCAGTCGCCTAGTGCGTACGTGGACCGGGTGTTCCGCCTCGCCAAGGTCCGCTATGTGGTCATGACCAACATCCCGTTCGACAAGCTGGAGACGCAGTACTGGACGCCAACGCCAGCGAGCTGCAATCGCGCCCAGTTCAAGACAGCACTGCGCATCGACCAACTCCTTCTCGGGCTCTGGTCGTCGATCGGACCTGCCCTCGATGCACTGTATGTGGTCATCGAATCTTCAATGTAAAATTCTGTGTGGACAGGCACCTCCCGCATACGCTGGATGGCGTCGAGAAGTTTCTGTTGCACTGGATCGACATGCTCCAACCCGAGTACTTTATGGCCAGCGTGCCCCACACGTTTGTCTACGACGATGACGCACCGCGTGACGCGCCGCGCGATCTCGAGTCGCCCAGTGGCGCACTACTGCTGTCGTGTGTGGTCTTGCCACTGGCCGCGCGGCTGTCGCTGCCGATTGCCCTCAAGTTTGGTGCCGTCCGCGGCCTCAACCCTCGGTCTGTCGTTTGGATGATGGACAGATTGTCATGCAGTGTGTAGACTGTGCTTGGCCGGCGACGGTGTCGCGGTCGTCGACGTGTCGTTGCTGACGCGCCTCGCACGCGCGAATCCCCGCGTCAAATTCCTCGCGACGTTCCTCTCGCGCGTCAACCAGCACGAGGTGACGGTGGTCGCCAACAAGTTTGGCAACGTCCATCTGTACGGCTGCTGGTGGTACTGCAACAACCCGTCCATCATATCAGAGCTCACGCGCATGCGGCTCGAGATCCTCGGGACGGGCTTCACAGCGCAGCACTCGGACGCGCGCGTGCTCGACCAGCTCATCTACAAGTGGAAGCATTTTCGGTCCATCTTGGAAGCGACGTTGACGCCGTTATATACGCAGCTGCTCTCGCACGGGTGGGTCGTCACGGACGACGACATTGGCCGTGATGTCACGCGTCTGCTTGGCAGCAGCTACGAAGCGTTCCTTGCCAAGCGACTGGAGGGATAAGCGTCATAGCGCACACAATATCGTCCACAAGCATATATAAAAACGGAGTAAAAGCTACAAACGTCTCTAAGACGGCGGTGACGTCATATGACAACGTTTAGCCCGTGATGACGCGGACGCCGAGCATCGACACCTTGTGCGCGTCAACGTTGTCGGGCTGGCGAATGAACATCATGTTGGTCGGAATGCGCTGGTTTTCGGAAATCCACTGTACGAGAATCGGGTCAAACGTGCCTTCGACCGCGATCGCGTCAATCTGTGCACAATATTGTCATGCAAAATTCAAACATAGAGGCAACGTACGCGCAGCTTGGGGTACATGCAGTCAAAGACACCGACAATGTCTTCAAAGTCCGACGGCGGCTTGGTGCCCTTGGCGTACACGTGCACGATGCGAAGGTTGTCCGTGTGCTCGTTCCGGCGCACGTACAGAATAGCCTTGTTGAGGATCGTGAGCGAGAGGTGCTTGCAAAAGAAGATGATGGGCGGCTCGTTGATGGTCTTGATCGCACGCACGATCGTGCGCTTGCCAAGAAAGTTGTTGGGCGTCGACGCGTCCGTCGTCGTCGGCAGCAACGGCGGCATCACCACGCGCTCCGTGGTCGTCCACTGCGACGGGCACAGGCTCTTCATGACGAGCATGCACGCGCGGAGCACAAAGATGCGCTCGAGCATGAGCAGGATGAGCCCGGCGACCGAGAAGAAATAGAGCAAAAATACGATCGAGACGCGGGGGTCGCCGAGCATGATGCCAAAGAAGCCGACAAGACCCATCGCAAAGCCCACGAGACACTTCCACCTACGCATCCAAGACGCTAAGAAATGAGTGGGATGGAATGAATGTCGTCTACCAAGGAGTGTTGGTCTCGCGAGGCATGTCGCCGCGCTTGAGCTTGAAGAGCATGGCGCCGACAGAGAAGAGCACAAGGAGCCCGAGAAACGAGTACGAGTAGATGCTTGAGAGCATGGTCACGTTGCCCTCGAGGATCCAGACAAGGCTCGTCGCAATGACGAAGTACGAGAGAATGATGTAGTGGTTGGTGTGGCGCCACGAATTTTCGGCGAGGAAGAACTCTGGAAGAACACGGTCGGACGCGAGACGCCGGACAAGACCCGTGATACCAACGTACGACGTCAGCACCGAGCCGGAGAGGACGATGAAGCCGTCGACGCTGAGCCAAATCTCAAACCAGCGGCCAATCGTCGTGCGGGCCATGGACGCGAGCACAATGTCCGAGTTGGCGATCGTGCCGTTGATGCCGTACAGCGGCAGTACACAGAGGTTGAGGACCGAGAGCGCGAGGTTGAAGAAGGTGGAGAGATACCACATGTTCTAGATAACCATAAAAAATGTCCATAAATCCATGCAAAAATAAATAAAAAAGGACGTACGCGGATCACGAGCTGAAAGACGCCGGGTTGCTGCTCTTCGACAAAGTTGGCCGCGGTTTCGAACCCCGTGACGCCGAGCATCGCCGACGAAAAGCCAAAGAAAAGCGCCGTGAACGGCGTGCCAAGCATCGTCGCACCGGCAACGTCCACGGACGGAAAGTCCGTCTCGAGATTGGCCCAGAAAATGCTCTGGTTCTGGAACGCGTAGACAATCGATGCGACGACGAGGACCGCGAGCGTGATCGTGTGCGCAACGAAAATCGTGAGCGCGACCTTGGCCGACTCGGACATGCCGAGGACGTTGAGAATGGCAAACGTTCCGAGAATGCCGGTCGCGCAGTGAATGTGGTTGAGGTCCTCGATCTGCTTGCGGAGGTAGTCGGACGCCGAGACGGCCGAGACGACACCGGTGGCGAGGTACGCAATGATGGCGAGCGCCGACGTGAGCGCGGCGACGCGTTTCGAGGTCGAGTTGAGCATGGTGTTGTACGAGCCGCCGTTGAGCGGGATGGCCGAGACGACCTCGACGTAAATGAAGCGGAAGAGGTACATGACGCAGGCGACGAGGAGGTTGGCAAAGGGCGCAAACTTGCCGGCCTTGGAGGCGACAATGCCGGACGAGTAGAGGCAGCTCGAGAGCACGTCGTTGCCGCTGATGCCCGTCGAGTACCACTCGGAGAGAAAGTGCTTGGGCGCGTGCATCTCTTGGTGGATGGCGGCGAGCTCTTCTGGCGCCGGGTGAAGGCGACCGGTCGCGTTGCCAAGACCCGGGTACACCCACGACGCTATAAGAATATGATAAGAGTGGTTTATGGATACGAGTAGAACGTACGGCCTCGCTTGGGCTCTTGGTCGACTTCGAACGTGAACCGGCGGCGCGGCCGGAGGTCGTCGGGGTAGTGGATTTCCATGGACGAGGCAAGTTGGTGACTGGCGCCGAAAGCAATCTTTGACACGCGGCTTTTGATTGGCCGAGCGTCAGGCCGGGTGATTCGAAGTCGCGGGGAATCTTCGATTGACGTGGGAAATACGTGGCGGCCGAGGCGAGAAGAAGGGCAATCGCGGCGGTGGCACAACCTTTGTCAACAGGCCGCTTGTCCGCCCATGCCTCTTGTCTAGTCCATGCCTCCTACCTTGCACATGCAAGCTGCATACAAGGCGACGCGCAAAACCATGAACCATGCTAAAAGGTGTGACACGGCTTGCACTTGCCGTGTGTGGCCAGCGGTGACGCAGTCTGTGGCCAGAATGGCGTGCGAACTCGAAACGCCATGACGGGCGACGTCACCCTTGGCATTATCAAGTATGCAAGGCTGTGCGGAGTGTACTGTGTGGTTTTGGTGTATGTACGTCAGCACGCGTGTCGGGCGCAGCTCGATGGCGGCGCCGCCGAGTGCTATTCGCTGATGCGCGTTGCGTACAGCGACATGCTCTGCTATGGGCAATGCTGACGTGTGGTGATGGTGCATCTGGCGCGAGAAATGAAGCGCGGTGATAGCAACCGCCATGTCGGCGTGCGTGTGGTGGGAAACGTGGGTGGGAAACTCGCGCGTGTCGTGAAAATCAGATCGAGGTGGGTGGCGTCGAAGTTCGAAGTGCGCCGGCCACATGCAGCCGAAGCTTCTTTGCACTTTGCGTTGGCGTGGCTGTCCGGTCCACTCCGGTGGACCTCGAAGATGTGGCTGCCACGTTTTCGATGTGCCATGGCGCTCGACCGCGGCTTTCTTGGATTCTTCATGGGTGTTGGGATCCCCGAGGAACCAAGGAATCTCAGCGCCACCTGGGCGTCGTCAATGAATGACGTCATTGCGCCGCTCCCCGGCGTTGTGAGTAAGCTTGGTTGTGCGGATGTATGGGCCTTTGACAGCGACGGCCACATCCACGGCCGCATCCCAACCAAGCTTGTCGTTCTTCCGCATCCTTTGTTTTTGTCAACTGTCTCGCTTGGGCCGTTCGACGGAATCACTGCATGGCGAGCATCAAGCAAGCGAGACAGCGCAACTTCGAGACCAAATGTGAAGTTGCCAGATAGTATCTCATGTGCATCGAATCACATTTTGGTATGTTGGTAGCTTTAGCTGCAATGGACCGACGAACGTGCCCAGGCGGCGTACTTGTGCATGATGATGGACGCGGCGACCGTGACGTTGAGCGACGCGGTGCCACCACCGTATTGCGGAATGTACACAAACCCGTCGCAGATAGCCACTTGAGCGTCCGAGAGGCCGCTGCCTTCGTTGCCGACCATAAAGGCCATCGGCGCTGCGGTAAACACATCCTTGTCGTTGACGCTCTTGGCGTTGTGGAGGATCTCGATGCCAACGATTTGCGTCAGCGGATTCCGCGTCTTGAGGAGGTTCCGGCACTCGACGAGCGTCGCGCAGCGTGTGATCGGAAAGGGCAGCTCGAACCCTGGCATCGTATCGTCGAATTGGAGCGCCGACTCGAAGCTGAGGAGCTTGTGGCCGACGACAAAGACCTCGACGACACCAAAGGCCGCCGCACTCAGAAGCAAGTCGCGGATGTTCTTGCGCTTCTGGATGTTGTTGACGATCCAGATCTGGCCGCGCGGCGGCGGATCGATCGCGCTCATCGTCCCGGTGCTCGGATGAGGCGCCAATCGATTCCACGGTGCTGCCGCCATGTAAAGTACGCTTTGCAGCATACAAAAAGCTTGTCAAATAGGCGCACTTGACGAGAGCAAGCCATTTCAATAGGCTAAACGCACGCCATTTCAACGGGTCCATCGAGATGGAGCCGCTGTAGCACGCGCACCTTACTAGTTTGCTCTCTTCATGGTCACCTCGATACGATTTTAAAGTGGCTGGAATGGTATGTTTCTGCATGTTGTTGCCGTGTCGTCCTGCGTGTAGTCTGCGCATCAGGTGCGATTGGACATTGAGGCGCGTGTTTCTAGTCTACGCTTGCCGTTACATCACTCACTTGATGCACTTGATGTTTGTATAGAGATGAGCAGGCGGAGAAGGACACTATATTATTATTCTACGATTGAAATATACAATACAAAGAACGAGCGAGAGAGGAATAATTATATAAAACGAATAAAACTACACTCGACAAGGAGGAGAACAAAATGAGCCAATCACAAGAGGCGAGCCAAATCCAAAGCGCTTCGAGGAGCATGGCGACAGACCGGGCAGCGCGGGCCTTCGGCAACACGGCCGAGTGGATCCATGCGACCAAGGTGCTAGCAACGACGCTGCGCGAGTTCGTGGAGCTCCAGACCAAGCACAAGGAAGAGCTGCGCGACTTTTCCGAGCAGGCGACCGCGCAGCTCGAGGCCGCGCAGCCAGCCTCGACGACGTACCATGGCAGCGGCCTCATCCTGGCACGCGTCTCGGCGCTCTTTGCCCAGGTCGCTAGCGCACAAGACGCCATGTGCGTCAACTTGCCGTTGGACATTGACGAGCTCGAGCAAGAACTCCAGCGCCACATTGAGCGACTGCAGACGTTGCAGGCCGACGCGACCGAGCGCAACCGCATCTTTGAGGCGCTCAGTGATCGTGGATAGCATTCGCTCATGCACGCAATGACGTAGGCAACGAAGACGCAGTACCGCGCATCGCTCGACACGTTTGATGTCTTGTTCCAGTCGGCGGCCAAGGCGCTCGAAGCCGGCATGAACAAAGGCGGTATTGACCCCTATATCTTTGAGATCCTCGACTCGGACGACCGCGCCGAGATACGCACGGGCAAGGAGACCAAGGTTGTCGAGCAAATCGCGCACCAGATTCGCGCGTCCAAAGTCGCCAAGGCGAGCTGTGCCTCCCAGTACAAGGCCTTTCGCAAGATTGCCAGCGACTACATTCAGTCGCTCGAGTCGATCGAACTCAACCAGCAGGTCGCGTTCGCACCGCGAATATCTGAATCTCAAAATATCGTTTTCGTAGCAACTCGAGCAAGACTGCAGTCAGACCATTGCCAGTATTGTGCACAAGTTTATCGTGTGCTACATGTCGCTTATCAAAAACATGGAGGTACAAAGTGTGGACACCTTGTCGTCCTTCATGTCTTGTTAGTATGACACGAGACAGCTCAACGAGCGCATCGAAGAAGAGACGCAACGCACGATCGAGGACGAGCCGCTCACGCACCTCCTCGCAAAAGAGATCCACGCCGAGCTGCAAGCCATGGCGCCGCCGATGCCGGGGCCATTGGAGCTCGCGTACTTTCTCGAGCAGTTTGTACCAAGTGCGTCCGTGCGACCGCTGCTCGTGCGCCATCAAGCCGCACGCCTCAACGTCTTTGCGCCGTCGTCCTAGTCGATATTAGACTGTTAACCTAGTCGATACTAGACTGTTTAAACCTTGTCTATTGTTGGCTGGTCGTTGAAACCACTATGTCGTCGTCGTCTTGAGCGTTATCGCTGAAGGAGATCGAAATAGACAGGACTGCTGGCAAATGAAGTGGTAGCATGGGCAGCCATGCGTCTCGAGTCCTCCCAAAGAACCTCCTGCCCCACGGCACGAGCGGGCCGCAGCTCGTCGGCGCCAACAACCACAACAAGCGCCGGAAGGATGCCGTGTGGCAGTCGAGCATCCTCGCCTCGCTTTTTTGTGTCGAGCCGCCTCTGCAGCTCTCGGCCATGTCGCTCGACATTCTACTACCCGCGACCGGCGCTGCGATCGCGTCCGGGCTCGACAAGCTCCTTATCTACGACGGGTCGATCTCGGCCGACGTCCTCGGTGTTGGTGACGTTGCTTTCCACGTCCACCCGATCGTGAACCGTGATGCAGCGACCATCAGCACCGAAGACGCACCGTCGCTCGTGCAGTTTATTCATGATCAAAAGGACGTCCGGAGCTTTGTGACGGACGAGGTGCTCATCAGCTGCGTCCGAGACATGCGGTCGCAGATCAACTATCCCCACGAAGGTATTCTAGCCCTATCGATGGACATGTTGTGCACGATAACGTAGGCAACTTGTACATCCTCCGGTTTCTGATTCCAAAGGGCAGCCACATGGATGTTGTCGCCAAATCCGTGCTCGCAACCAACATTTCCGTGCAGGGCAAGGTCCGCGCACTCACCGTGTCGGTCGATGCAGAGTTGGCGCCTGGATCACGGACATCGAGCGCCAAGTGGCGCCCGGTGGCTTCTGTGCGGAGCTTTGGCCGGTCGATGCTTGACGAGCGCGTTGCGATCAGCGAAGACTGTGTCCGCATCATGCGCGCTAGCCCGTTTTTTGCAGACATTTCAAGCCGCGACCTCACGCAGCTCGCCGACCTCGGGACCATTTCGCTCGTGGACGCCAACGTGGTAGGACTCGCGTTCATGGTGCCATGGACGCCATGGACGAATTAGCGCCTCATGGCCGAAGGCGAACTTGGTGGACGAGAAATGTCCATTCTGTTGGCAGGAACCATCGCCGTTCAAAAGATGGACCCGGTTCGATCCCCCACTCGCAGTAATATTGGATTTAATTTTTCAAAATGATCGAGTAGGTTCAAGGGACGCTACGGACTGTTGCTGTGCTCCACAGCGGCGCGTGCATTGGCGAAACCTCGTTTCTCGTCCATATGCCCCGTACGGCAACGCTCGTGACCGAAGCCACGTGCATGCTCATCAGCCTCGACGGCAGCTCCTTTCTGCGCTTTCTCCAGAACTTTCCGCAAGTCCACCGGAAATTGCAAGGCATGCTCTGCGAACGGTTTGTGCAAAACATTGCCGCCCAAGGTGGCGTGCCGTTCTTTCGCGCGATTCCGTTTGAGCATCTTCTCGCGTGGGCCCAGCACTGCTACATTGAAGACGGCGTGCCCGCCTTCCAGAGTGTGTTACGTACGTCGTTTTCATTTCAGACATGTTGTCTGTGTTCTGTGGACACCTTGTCGACGATGCCTCTGCCATGTAGCGATCGTCGGCACGCCCAAGTTTAGCATCCTCCTCTCGGGCAGCGTCGAGCATTTGCAAAGCGGGACACAAAAGACACTTGTCTCGACGACTGGGTACTTTGGCTCGTTTGGTCACGTGCCCTTGCCGCAGGCTGGTCCCTGGGGCAGCGAAGCGAGTACGACGACGCCGTGCGTCTTTCTTTCTTGCGACCAAGTCGCCACGGACCGGGTATTTGATCGGTCAGCCATTGCGGCCATTCAGCTACGCCTGAGTCGACAAAAAATTGACGTTCTGCCGCTTCTCGACCTCCCAGACGCGCGCAAGGCGCTCCTCGAGTTTGCGGACGCTGAATTCAGCACCGAAAACCTCTTATTTATCCTCGCCGTGCAGCAGTTTAAGCTCTCGCCATCGCTCGAGCGCGCCATTAGCATCGGGAACGAGTACATTGATGATCGCGCGGCGCAGCAAGTGAACATTGAAGCCAAGATGCGCGAAGAAATTCTCTCGTCGCTGGCATTGCGCGTCCCAAGAAGCACCCGATCGTTGTTGCCGGTCCTTTTGCCGGCGTCACTGGCGACGCTCTTTGATAGCGCGTTTGACGAGATCTTGCGTCTCGTGCGCAAGGACACGCTACCGCGCTTCAAGAAGACGTCGCTGTTTGCGGACTTGCTCTCGGCGTACCCGCTCTTCCTGCACGAGTGTCGAAGCGCGCCGTCGCCGCCACCGCTCAATTCCAAACGTTCAGAAGTCAACAATGTTCACCGCCGCTTCGCTGCCATTTTGAACCAAGTGCGCGACGATCGACGAAGGCGCCGAAAACTGCGCTCGATCAACCACCGACCGTCGTTGCTTGTACGTCTTGGCCTTGGCGTGTTTTTTTTCAAACGTATGGCTCCTAGGAACCCCTTTTTGCGGCCGTTGCCCCCCATATGCCCCACGCCCCAACACTACCTCGGTAGTCCAACAAGAAATAGTCCTTAGTGTATAAACATCAACTTGAAAGACTTGGGTCTCCATTATCCTCGATCTCACCCCTTCACAGAGACCGGCGAACCAGACGCTGGTCCGTGTCGAGTTAGATCTGCTTGAACAACAAACATCCTGCCACACAAGTGTCGTAGCGAGGTATGATGTCGCTGCTGTCGCCAAAGACGATGTTGATGCCGCCCGGTTCAAAACTGTTACCGCAGGAACCCTACCCCGCGCTCACAAGGGCGGTTTGTATGGCCTCGAAAACGACTTGGGGTTTGTATGGTGATGTCGGCCCGGCTAAAGTTAGCAGCATCTCAGGTTCGTTTCCGAGCGACGATGGGCGGGACCTGCACGCGGATGGCGCTGAGCCAGCGACAAGACCTCTGGGGCTCGAGCCTCCTCTCGCCGCTCTTTGTGGAAGACGACATTGAGAGCCTCGGGACTTCGTCTGTGCCCCACACGGTGCTCCCGGGGTTCCCGATCATTTCCGCGCGTACGAAAATCGCGCTCTTGTACGACGGCAAGATCACAGCGGTCGTGCCGCAGCTCGGGTCCGTCTCGTTCAACGTGAGCGCGACGAGCAAGTACTCTGGTGTCCACATTTTTGCCAAGGGCAACCTGACCGTCTCGCGCTTCTTCAAGGACCGCAACCGGGCGCCGAACGCGTCGAGCCAATTCACGATCGACACGGAAGAGATGCTCGTGTCGACCAACGCGACGAAAGGATCGCACGAGTACCTCCTCCGCTTCTGCATGACCAAGACAAGCGGCAATGAAGTCGTCATCAAGTCGTATCGCGCAACGTCGATCCAAGTGCTCGAGCGAAGCAAATTGCTCGTGCTCGAAAAACCGTCGAATGCCCTCGCATCCAATGTCTACTACCTCGTCAACAACGTCCTCAACTCGGACTCGCTCACGCTGCTCCGGTCCGTCTCGTTCTTCTCCGACATTGCCGACGAAAAGCTCCTTCGATTGGCCGACCTCTCAACCATTAGCGTTCTCGCACCGGGGTAGTCCTTCGATCTCGGACGATATTGACCAACATACTAGATGCGTCGTCTTCCGGGAGAACGACGAAGAAGGCTCCGAGATGTTTATTACGCTCGCAGGCGCGCTCGAAGTGAGCTCCAACCAAAGCGGCCAGTCGATCGTGCTCGCGACACTGCACGCGGGCTCGTGCTTTGGCGAGATGGCCCTCATGACACGCGTGCCCCGCGCAGCGACGATCAAGGTGCTCGACCATGCCATGCTCCTCTCGATCGAGAGAGATTTCTTTCTCCAGTTCCTCGACGACAACCCCGAGGTCGGATTTCAAATATCAAGATATCAACTTGATATGTCTCATCACATCAACGATTAGGTGCAAAACAAGCTACGGCATTTGCTGCAGGAACGCTTCATGAAGAAGGCCCTGTCGTCCAACATTGTGCCCTTCTTCCAAGCGATTGAACTGGACCGGCTCGTCGAACTCTCGCACCACTTTCTCGTCGAGGACACGATTTGCTCGGGCGATATCATTCTGACGCCCGAGACGTACGACACCAAGTTTTGCATCATCATCTGCGGCACGGTCGAGGCGAGCGACGTGGCCGGCGAGTCCACAATGACGACCGTGCTCTCACCGGGGAGCTACTTTGGTACGTTTGCTCACTTCCCACACGCCTCGAACGTCCAACATACGGTCGTCGCCAAGACGCCGTGCGTCCTCTTCTCGTGCCCACGCGACGTGAGCACCCGCATCATTGGCACGTCGCCCGTCGCGTTGGCCGAGATTTACATTCGCTGGCTGCGCGACGCCGTCGAGCTCAAGCACGTCATGCAGCACCACAAGGCGCGCGACTTCTTCTTGGCGTTTTGCCGCGCCGAGTTTAGCGAAGAGAACGCGCTCTTCCTCATCGACCTCGACACGTACATGATGCTGACAAAGATGCTGCATATGCAATGACGCTGTAGGTACATGGGCATCCAGGCCATGGGCGCGCGGCGTGAGATGGCACAGTTCCTCTGCGAGACGTACATTAGCGAGACCGCGCCCAAGCAGGTCAATATTGACCACAATATGCGCGAGAGCATCATCAACCAAATCGCGTCGCTCGGCGTCCGCGGCGTGGAAGACGAAATGGAGGTCGAGCTCACGGTCTTTGAGCCGGCGCGGTACGAGATCACGCGGCTCGTGACCAAGGACAGCTTCCCGCGCTTCAAGCGCACCAAGTTCTTTACCGAGATGCTCGACGCGTTCGCTCCGTATTCGCATGCCCGCCACATCTCGCTCGCAGACGCGGTCAATCAGTTCAAGGAGAAGATCGTGCTGAGCCCGCGGGACGGCGCGCACGAGGGCGCGGGCGCGCTGTATGGGCGCTTTGAGAAGATCGTCGACACGGTCAACCTGCACAAGAACCGGCGGTCGACGCTCATGGGCGAGAGCCAGCCGATCGCGCGCGTGCGAAAATCCGTGTCCCGCATCCTCGCCGACCGGTGAAGGCAAGCGACCTGTACAGACCCACGTCGTATCGTATCAATGGCGTCAGCTGCTAGTTTATTAGACGAGGTGCAATAACGTTTTCAAACACGCTTCGAGGTTGCCTTGGGCCTCGCGCAGCTTGCGCTCAGCAATCGCGGTCGGAAGGTTCATCTCGGCCGCCAAGAACGCAACGTCGTCCTTGGCGATCTTGACAGCGGCGAGCTCCTTCTCATGCGCGAGGGCCTCCTGCTTTTCGGCTTCTTCGGTCGCCTTGAGCGTCGAGAGAAGGTGCTTCATCGTGTTGACGTCGATCGCTTTTTCGTTCTCGTCGTCGTTGCCATCGAGCTTCTTCATCGCGCTCGTCTCCTCGGCCTTGGTCTTGTCCGACTCCTGGGCCTCCTCTTCTTCATCGTCGTCTTCCTCGCGCTCCGCATGCAAGGCGTCGTTGGCCGCAGGCTTCTCGGCGGGCGGCGCGTCGGCCTTCTTGGCGCTGGCAGCTTTGCTCATGCTCGAATCGTAGTTTTGTGACCACCATACACAGACCCCAAATTTAACACCGTGTTTTAACGCGTGTTACACGGCGTTGTAGTGTATTATAACACACCATTTTCCCGGTTTAACGCCGCAGGCGTGGAACATAACATCCACTGCATGGTTTGTTAAGTACGCTTTCGAGCTCAAAAGATCGCGCGCACCCAAAAACACGCAACTTGAGAGCTTTAACGACGCATGACAAGACTCGAATAGGTGCATAGTTGCGTGTTATTAGACACATTAGTTGTTCAGGTACCTCTAAAGTACGCTACCTTTGCGACTTGAAAACTTGCAGGAGAAAGCGCACTTTAAAGGGTCGTCGAGCAACTCCCACAACATCCCGTATCTTGAAGCACACAGCATGGGGCAGACGGAATCGACGCTGGCTGCGCCGACGCGGGCAGCGACCAAGGCGGAACCGGCGGCTGACATGGGCGCGCCCATCGAGGACATGTCCTTGTCGAGCGCGATCTTGTTTGCGCGCAAGTTCACGCAGCGCCACCCGCTCTTTGCGTGGCGCCCGGACGAGCACGTCCTGCGCCGTATCGGGTCGCGGGCGCTCAAGCACTCGTTCCTGGTCGACTTTACCGACCTCTCGGGCGCGGCCAACGCATGTGTGCTTCTCTCGCTCGTGCCCACGCAGGCGAGTCTCTTGTGCCACCAGTCGGCTGGGCTCACAACGTACAAGCTCAAGTCGCTCCTCGTGGCGCTCAAGCACCCATACCTGCTGCCGACACTCGACGTGCATTACGCCAACGAGAAAGGGTCGTCCACCGAGGTCATGCAGCGGCCGGGCATTCTGGTCGCCCAGCCTTTTGTGTCGACGGGTAGCCTCAAGGACCTCGTGTTCCAGCGGGCCGACCCGCGCAGAGCGTACGAAGAAAAGTACGCCCCACGACACACGGGCGCCGGGCTTGCACGGCCGCAAGTCGCGCGCTACGGACGACAGATTCTGCTTGGCCTCGACGCGCTGCGGCAAAAGGGCATTATCTGCGAGCATCTGAAGCTTTCCAACATCATCCTCGACAACAACGTCGCCCGGTACATGCTACCTACGGACGCTACGAACTCATGTCGAGTGCACTAGCATTGCAGACATCTACAACACGGTGCTCGGCCTCGAGCGCGACGCGACTTGGCGGGCGTGGACGGTGCCGCTCGAAGGCGACGTCGATGTCGATCTGCTCCTCTTCGGCCACTGCCTCTACGAGATGGCGTGCGGCCAAGCGCTCGCAGCGACCGCGCCGACCGTAGACGATTTACTCGAGCTCCCGATCGAGATTGCCGACGTGCTCCGCGTCATCTTCCACGGCGAAGGCCCCGACGTGACGGTACACGCCTTGCTGAGCTTGCCTCTGTTCGCTTCGAGTAGTCTGAACGATACGCCGTTGCCGCCGGTAACCTCCGCGTGCAGCAACACGCAATGACCGTGGACCATGTAGCTGCGCTTGGACAGCCATATGAAGGCCCTTCTCAAAGCTAGCATGCGCATCAACCAGGCACGGCGCCACGCCTACCGCGTCCAGTACGAAGACGCAATGGCGCTCGAGGAGGCGCGCCGGTCAGCCGAAGCCAGCCACGACGAGAAGCGCAAGGGGCATCAGTTGCGCTCACGGGCTCTGAGCAAGTCCATGCGTCGATCGCAGTACCGTGCGAGCAGCGCGTCCCTCAAATACGCTCGCACGAGCTTGGACGACGACAACGACGATGCTGTGGCGCCCTGACTACACTATCGAGCACTAGTATGTATCCAGTCGTCGACTAAAAATCCGACTGTGTCTCTGTGCGCTGCGTGTGCCACGTCACATTGTGGCTGGTGCGAGAGATACGAGGTCGAGTACGTCGCACACACATGAAGAGCCTCTTCCATCTACCTCGGCCGCAGCGCTGTAGTTAGTCACTCTCAGCTAAGGTGGACTTGCAGTGGAAACCGGATACGATACATGTATCCGGATGCTTGCATGCACACAGGTTTCGGGGCTTCGGCAGCGGTCGGCAAGCGTAGGATGGACTACTACCGCGTGATGAACCTGACGCGGTACGCTGCTGAAGGAGACGTATGGCCGATTCCTCATGGCATGACGCAGCAATGCGACGCAGAAGGACATCAAGCGAGCGTACCTCAAGCTCGGTACGCACCCTTGTGCTACCTGGCGCTTCATTTGGTCTCATGGGGTGGCGTAGCCCGGCAGCTGCATCCTGACGTCAATGGCAACGACCTCGTGTGCAGCGTCGCCTTATGCTGCATTGGCGTGATCGAATGTGAATGCGTAGGAGAAGGCGGCGCTCTTCAAGAAGGTGAGCGAGGCCAACTCGGTGCTCTCGGACCCGGCCAAGCGCGCAGGTGCGTAGCGACGCCAACGACAATGGAATGTGTAGCATTCGTTGATGCTAGAATACGACAACCGCTTCTCGTACCGTGACCGCGGCGAGACGCACTACTCGCCGAAAGGCCAGACCAGCGCGCGGGCGTCTGCACCGTACGACGCTGCAACTTGCATCGACGACGCTAATCGGCGGTCTTAGACGCGGCAGCCATTACGGTATCAACGAAGACGTGTGGTATGCACACCACTATGGTGCCCACGCGCAGCGCACGAGCCGCTGGACGGGCAAGATCCACATGAACTACGGGTCGCACATTCCCGAAGAGATGTTTGAGCGCGAAATGGAGAGCATTCGACGGTCGATCCTAGCACATGGATGATGATGACCTCATGTGCTGAACTAGACGCGAAGCCACGAGCAAGATTCAGAACGGCTACATGCTGCGGCGAGAACTGCGGCTCAAGAAGCAAGCCGAGGAAGAAGCCGCCAAGCGAGCAAAGGCGCCGTCACAGACCGAGACCGACGGTTGTGTCATTTCGTAGCCAAAAGAATCGAGTCGTTGAACAATAGCGCGCTCGGGCTAGGGTCCATAGCCTAGCGTCCGGACGTTCTTGATGCTTGCGTGTGCGACCAAGAAGTCACGGAGCGTCCTTTGTCTTGGAGATTGCATCGACCGCATTCAGCACTTTGACCCCGCCATGGCATGCAGCTCGATACTATCGCATGGAGCATGGAGCGTTGCTGCTGACACCTCGCCAATTCCCCAGTGCAAGCAATGTGCCCAGGAGGTGCGAGGCTCAAGCCTCGGAGGTGTTGCTCCTTTCTTTTCTTTCCTATCGGCGTTGACCTCTACACCACGGAGTTCGTTCTTGGCCCACGCTTCACACTCTGCGAACCTGCCGGAGCGCGATCCAGAGCCGTGCAAAGCTATCGTTCAAAGCCTCAAGACTCTCGGCGGGATTGGTGACGCGTCGACGTCGACATGGTGTGAGTAGAGCCCATTTCGATGGCTAGTCGTCGAGCGTTGACCAACGAGATGCAGCGTGGTCCTACTGTCGCTTGCACTGCTTGAACATGTCGGTCGCTCCTCCACTGTCGTAAGAAGCGCTCTTCACTGCGAAGGCGTCTCTTCTGCGTTGACATTGCATAACTTTTGGAGGACAATTCTGTCTGCCATTGCATGGACACTATCTTATGGATGACATAAACGTAGATGTATGACTAGTCCGTGCATGCGGTTAGGGGTCGATCGGGCCCATGAGAACCGGGGCCCAGATCTGCTGCTGCTCGACGCGCCACGTGCACTTGTCCAAGACCACTGCGTACGGGTTGTTGTACGACGACGTGATGCCGTTGACCGTGAGGCAGTACTCGGGCGAGTGGCGTGGGCGCAGAAACACGACCTTGAACATCTTGGTGTCGTCGTACTCGACGAGCCACATTTGGTTGATGTTGGCGCGGTTGCACTCCCAGCCGTGCACGCGCAGCGTCGGCCCGTCCCACCACGCGTCGAGGCAGAGGAAGTTCTTGGGGTCCGGGTGCACGATCCACTCGCGGCGCGGAATGTTGTCGGGGTACGGCGGCCACCCGTCGCGCAGCCGCCAGTGGTGCGCCCCCCACCCAAACATGTATGGCGTCGTTGTGACCGTCTTGTCGGTCATTGAGAGCGCGTAGTTGAACTTGCTGTTGCCGCCGACGTTGGCGAAGCTCGGGCCGTTGACAAAAAAGTTGTATTCGTAGAAGACCGGACGGTCCTCGAGGTTGCTAATGTGCTTGAGCGCCGGCGACGTGGTCAGATACTGCGTATCGTTGTAGTCTGCGCGGAAGCGCGCGGCGAGTTGCTCGTAGAGCGGGTCGTAGGGAGCCGTGCGGTTGGCATTGGTCGTGTCGTTGAGAGGTGCCGCGGCGGCCGCGGCCACGAGCGAGAGGAGCGAGAGCAGCGTCTTGCGCATCGCTGCGAATTGCAAAGTGGTCATGGCGTGCGTCGTGCGCCGAGGAAGAAAAAAGGGACGTGGGTGCCAGCTGCGACGCAGTGCACCTCTCCACGGCATTGCGGTCCGGTAGCGAGAGGCTTTGCCACCACAACCATTGTAGATGCACCTCAGTGGTGGCAGAACGGTGGTGATGGCGTCGCCCCGAGCGCGAGCAGCATAGCAGGCGACAGCCAAGCATGCGCCAACTCGCCTCGGCGCACGGTCGTATGTCCATTGTACTACGGTACCCTGGTCATGATGCAGTGGGCTGATGCAGCTGCTGGTGCAGTGGGAAGATCGGCGCTGTCGCCACGTGGTATTATTTGGCGGTCACGGAACCGCAACTGTTAAGCAGCAAAGCCGTCGGTTCTATCATGTCGAGTGACCGAGATGGAGCCCGAGGAAGCCATACCGAGAGGCCAGCTCGTCGCGTCTTTTCAGCAGCTACGATGTACAAGTACCGTACTGCCTACGATGCCCACAGCTGCGCCAGCGTTGCTTGGGATTTGAAATGATCCAGCAACCGTGAACGCGCACCTGATGGATGGCGGCCGTGCATCGAGGCGTGCAGTTACTGTATCACCGCGTACCGTATTCGTTATCACAGCACATCGTTCGTGGTGCTTGCTCTTCGTCAATGATGCAGCCGCGTCTCGATGCTGCCGACTGTGGGGTATGCGATATATTCTACTCAGCCTGCCAGAGCTCCTGCCAGCCGCTTTGTATCGATCGCGAGGAAGAGTATCAAGCACTGCTTGATGGATTCGATGGTGCTGATGGCTGCGGTGAACGCTCGACGAGAGGTCTCACTCACAAGACGAATACTAGGCAGTCGTAACCGGCTACATGACAGCTTGTACATGGGTATGTGTCTGTCGAATGATGGACGACCTTTGCGGTGGCAGAAGGCTACTTGGACGGGGTAGGGTCAGCTAATGTATTTTAACCAATCACCAAACAGCATGCGCTTACCTCGGGTCGTCGGGCGCAAGGAGCTGCATGCGACCAAGTGGCTGCGCCTCCTCGAGGTGACGTACAAGGACCTCGCAGGCGTCGAGCGGGCGTACTCGGCCGTCGAGCGGACAACGCGCCCGCCCTGCGCCGACGCCGACGCCGTCGTGGTCCTCCCGCTGCTCGCCGCGCCGACCGGGCCTGTCGCCGTGCTCGTGCGGCAGTTCCGCCCGCCCCTGGGTACGGTCGCCCAACGCCGCATGGATCGATGGATAGCGACTATACATATGTAGACAAGTGGATCATTGAGCTGCCGGCGGGACTCATTGACGCCGGCGAGTCGGTCGCGACGACGGTCGAGCGCGAGATCAAGGAAGAGACAGGCTACAACGTCTCAGAGATCGTCTCGATCGGCCCCGTCATTGCCTCCGATCCAGGTACAATCCGGCACGAGGCGCCACGCCTCATGCAGCGTAGGCTTGACGAGCAGCAACTGCCGCTTCGTCGTGGCGCGCGTCACGTCGGACGGGCCGCCGTCGCAAGCGCTTGAACCGACCGAGATGATTCAAGTGCTGCAGGCGCCACTCGCGACGCTTCTCGAGACGCTCCACGACCGCGAGGCAACATACGGCGACGCGATCGACTCTCGGCTCTACAGCTTTGCCCTTGGCCAGCAGCTTCGCCTCTTCTAAGCGTGCGTCGGGACCACTCCAAGTGTCTCTACAAGTCGACCATGTCGGCGCAATATTGTCATTTACTTCTGTGACATTCGATGCTTGCACCTTAAATTAGCAACGACTAGACTCTGCCAACGCGGTCAAGACGTAGCGCAGAGGCCATTGATACGTTGGTGACGAGCATCGCGATGGCTCACCCTACGCACGTGCCATCGCTCTGCTCGTACCGCGTGCTGCGTCGCAAGCGGCGCGTGGCTGGCGGGCTCAACGTATTCTTCTTGATCTCACCAAAGATCCGCGGCGATATCTGCCGAAGCGACGGTGGCAGGAGCGACGGCAAGAGCGCGTAGATGCTCACGAGCACGTACGTGGGCTCGTCGGCGCTCGTGGTGTCTTGGGCGAGGACCTTGCGTGCGTGCGGCGCCGTCAGCAGCAGCGTCCCAAAGCCCATGCGCGCCTGCATACTGGGCTTGCAAAAGAGCCGGCTCCCAATGCGAATCGCGTCGGCCTCGTCCAGCGGGAGGCCCGAGCACCAGTGCGGGAGACCGCAGGCGCGCATGAATGCATTCTCCTTGGCCCACTCGGTGCGGAGACACCAGATCTGGCTGCGAAGATACGTGGCCAGCACCGCGTAGACGACGCTGGCGACGGCGCAACCGCCGACCGCCCAGACAATAAAGCCAAAGAGGTATGCCGTCGCGGTCTCGACACCGGTCGTGTCGTACGCTCCGCAGGCGCAGTCGTTGCCTCCAATGTGCATGAGCAAGACACCTGGCACGTCATAAAAGGTGTTGCTCAGGAGCTCGTGCGACCCGTGGATGTTGAGGATAATCGCAGGAATCGAAGCGTAGATGAACACGCTCGTGGAGACGGGAAGGATGCGATGGCGAAGAAGGCGTCGGGGACTCGGCAGGAACTGCAGAAGAACGACCAGCAAGTAGGCGCCAAACGCGAAAAAGATACCGAGCGAGAGGATCGAGAGCAGCCAGATTCGGCCGCCATTGTCGGTGCCATAGTAGATACGCGCCACGTCAACGTACAAGAGCGACGGGGCGCCCGAGAGCACGATGAGCAGCAGCAGCAGCTTGCGTCGCTCGAGGCTCGAGAGGATGTCATACGTCAGCACAGGCTTGTGGCGGAGTAGCCCGCGAAGGCCCTTGCTTGTGATGTACAGATCGGCGGCGATCCCGCCAAACGACGCGATCGCTGTCGCCGACTGCAACCAGAGGAGCTCCGCCGCGTTCGAGACGTTGTGGCCGCAGACCCAGCCGGGTACGATGGCCTTGCCCGAAGTTTCACCGACGCTGTAGCCCACTTGGTTGCGCACCAGCTGCGAAATGTCGATGATTTGCGAGACGCAGTGCGACTCGACAAAGTACCGGGACCCGAGCGGATACGAAAAGATGATCGAGTTGAGGCCATCGGGGGACGTCTGCGTCGCGCCGTCCAGCCCGACAAGGACACGGGTCGGGTTGGTAAGCACGACGTTGGCGGTGCCGTCGCTGTTGATATACGGCACACTCTCGCTCGCTGCGACGTCGGCAAAGATGGTCGCCAAGAAGGCGCCGTCCGGGAAGATACTGTCGACAACCGCGGCTTCGACCATGACCATACCGAGCACCGACTGCTGCTGCGTTGGCTTGCACGCTGGGTACGAGCTGCGGCCGACGAGCAAGTGCAGCTCGGCGGATTGCGTCTCGTCCAAGCACCCAACGAGACACGTCGTGACAAAGTACACGTCTTGTGAAGGCACTTGGAGCGTCCGCGCCAGTTGAAGGCCGAGCGCCGACCACGCGTCGTCCGTGTTGAGCACGGCGCGCTCGTCGTCTGTGCACGAGTGGGGCACAAACCCTTGCGCATTTACGAGACACGACTGCTCGAACGGCCGCCAGTAGTTGGCATCGGTCTGGTAGTTGAACTGGACCACGCGCCGGTCAAACATACCTTGGACGAGCAGCACGAGCATCGTAATCAGCGACAACAAGAGGACGCTGGCCGCGACAAGGTTGGAGGCGATGCGGAGCCAGACACGCTTGGCGCCCGCGCTCTTCTTCTGCGTACCGGACGGTGTTGCGTGGCTATGGTGGTGCCCGCCCGTGAGGAGACCCGAGAGGCCAAAGCCCGAGAAGCGGTGCGAGACGATGCTGCTGCTCGACGACGCGACCATGCTGCCGTCCTTTCTAAATGGCAATACCTCGAGCTATTTTGAGTCGCACCGTTCTTTCCAGCGTGGACGAGGTTAGGTTTAAGCGGTGAAGACAGCTCCTCTGGCTCAATTAATAGAGCGTCAGGCTCCTAATCTAAAGGCTCATGCGATGATGGTATACGTCTTCTCAGAGCTATTTGACACCTCAAACACGGCTAGCTCCGTGCCTAGCTCGACTTCTTAAGGCTCGCACGTCAAGAAGCTTGCACGGGAAGCATACACCGTGTCAACGTCCTCGACGACATGCGCAGTTGTTCAACAAGATAAAGGTACATCGACTAAGCATCGTCGTCGGACGTGATCTCTTCGATCACCGCGTTGGCCGAGATGACCTTCATGCGGAGCGACTCGTGGCACTCGGTGTCCAGATACACGGTCGAGAGGACACGCAGGTCCATGACCACGTCGCCTACGCCACCAACATCAGCTTGGGATACGAGAATGCTGCGATACAGTACCGATGATGGCGGGCGCCCAGAACCCAAGGGCGTCCGTGACACGTTGGTGCCCGTCTTCAATCTTCCACGCGCCGAGGAGGTGGTGCGTCGATGCGTTCTGGAGCACGACCCACATGTGGTCGCGCCGGTACACGTGGTTCTTGCTCTTCTTGTCGTAGAGCGTCCCCGCGGCCGGCGCGAGTGCACCAGCCACCACGTGCAATCGCTCGAGCTGGAGGTGCAGCGTGACCCAGTCGCGCGGGAAGACGTCCGTCTCGTCGTCCACACGCAGCGCGACGTTGCTGAGCTTGAGCGCCGGCACCTTGACCAAAAATATAAGACATTTAATCGAGGCAAGAACATCGACAAACCTTGCCGCCTGTCGTGAGACGCTGACGCTGGGCGGCAATGGCCGCCGCATCGACCGTCAAGCTGCCTTGGGCAAGCGCGGGCAGGAGACGCAGCGCCGTCACCACGGTAGTCGCATCCGACTTCTTCTCAGCCGCCACTTTGATAGAGAATTCGACAAACACCTACCCCTCGTTGAGACATGAAACGTGCAGAGCAAGCAGCTACCTCGACCAAGTAGGGGAGCTGCAGCACAATGTCCGTGATACGCGCGTGCACTAGCGTACAGTGAGATAGGTGCGTAGGGTGCAGGGACCGTACAGGCGCAGGGCACGGTGAGCTCAAGCTCCTTGGCCTTGCGCTCGTTTAAGAAATAGTAGAGGGCCACCATGTCACGCTTGACGTGGTCTTGGTCGATGCGCGAGATATCCCGGTGCTCGAGCGTCGAGATGACTTGGTTGGATTCGAGCAGATCCAGAAACGCGACGACCTCAGCGTCCATCTCGTACAACGATCCGCCGCCGCCACAGCAGTCCTACGCATAAGATACGATAAGACTCGGAATCGATGAGCGTGGAGACTTGTACCCCACCAGCCTTCTCGGCGAGCGGCTGCTTGACTTCGCGGATGCAGCGGTTGAGGATCTCGAACGCCGACATCTTGTCGTGCCAGCCTGCCATGAGCCGCTCGACGTTCTCCATGTGCACTTCGGGCTTGTACTTGTCGCCGCTGAGCATTGCAATCGCGACGCCGAGAAGCGCCATGCTGCCGTAGACAAGCGCGATGATCGTCATACCGGCCTGGCCGCTCATCTGCATACAGGTACCTATGAGATGCGAGCGATGATGGGAGATGGCATCGTACCGCCTTGAAGTCGATCAAGTGAAAGGATGGGCCATCCGGGTGGCCAAACTTCTTGAAGTTCTTGATGGAGACGGGGTCCGTGAGCGCTTCGTACGCCTTGGCGATGAGCGCAAACTTGGACGCGGCGAGCGAGTCGCCAAGTTGCTTGTCCGGGTGGCTACATCGTGGACATGAGTCCATAGCCAGTTTCCTGCGCAAGTACATACAATTGCTTGCTCAGCGCGCGGTACGCCTTGCGAATCGTCTTCTTGGTCGAGTACTCGCGGACGCCAAGGATCTCGTACGGATCGAACGTCGGGACGCTGCTCGCGGCAATCACGCGGTAGAGCTCGGCGATCAACACGTACGAGACGAGAAGGCAGAGCAGGTGCAGCGCAAAGTACTTGGTCCAGCAGCCGCGCGGGTCCTTGACGAGGCGCCGGAGCACGAAGAAGGTCGCGGGCACGACGTACAGCGAGACGAGCACGAGCGTGAACGTGAGCTCCTCGGGCGACATTTTGAACAGTGCCAGGCGCGGGGTGGCAGACCGTTTGGCCATTGGTTGAAACATCCATCGAACTTTCTTTTTTACCCAATGGCATGCGCGCATGGACGTTCGATTCGATGCTTTTGACCAATCATGCTGCGATTGCGGTGCCAGCAGTCGCACTGTGATTGGGCGATGGGAGGCCGTGCCACGTCATGGCCCTAGGCTGGACGCACGCAACAAGCCGCGACGGCAACTTCGCACATAGGACCCAGCGATACCAACCATCCAAAGACTGTACATGCCTGTCCTCAGCCACCTCGTTCTAGTACGTAGCTCTGTCGATAATGAACCACAACTGGAACCTACCCCGGGGCACACGAGGCCGCAAGAAGGCAGTTGTAAACAGTGTCGTTTCCATCCACCGGTTTACTAGTGATGGACAATAGTGTCAACCAACGCACGTGCCCCGGCTATACTTGAACGTTTTCGCGCGCTGGAGCCGCTTCTTGGTCGGCGCCGTAAGTACGTTCTTGACGATTTCGCTTTGCACCATCGGCATGTACAGCCGGAGGTACCGCGGTAGAATGCCCCACACCAGGTCGTAGACGCTGACAAGGTAAAACACTTCTTCCGGTGCCGTGTCGACGACTTTGGCCTCCTTGGCGACGAGGATGCGGCGCATCTCGGGCGCAATGACGACGGCGGCGAGGCCCATGCGGGCTTGCATGCTCGGCTTGCAGAAGAGCTTATTGCCAATCTTGATGGCATCGGCTTGGTCCAACGGGAGCCCCGTAAACCAGTAGGGCATGGCCGATTGCGATAAGAACTCATTGTTTTTTGTCCATGTCGTGTCGAGCACACATTTCTTCTGGAAAAATTGGAGCTTGGCCATCGCGTAGACAATGCTCATGAGAAAGCAGGTGCATACCGCAATGACAATGTTCCCAAGGGTGAGCGACGTCGCCGACGCGATGCTGTTGGCGTCGTAGGCGCCGCAGCCACAGACCCGCCCCGAGACGTTCATGCCCAGGAGCGACGTCGCCGCAAAGAATGACGCGTGCAAGTCCTCGTACGAGCCATAGACACTGGCTGAAATCGACGGAATCGCACCGTAGATAAAGACCGCAGGCGACCACGGCGCGAGCTTGTGCCGAATGGAAGGCGGGCTTGGCACAAACTGAAGCCCCAAGAAGAGGAGGAGTGCAAACCACGCGACAAAGATGCCCAGCGTGAGGATCGAGAGCAGCCAGAGCCAGTCGTCGATCGGTCGCCCGGCGTAAATACGAGCAATGTCAAAGAAGAGAAGGCCGGGAAACGCGCTAATCGCACCGATAAACAAAAGGCCTTTGCGCCGCTCGACGCCCGTGAGGATGTCGTACGTCAGAACTGGCTTGTGCTGCAACACGCCCTTGAGACCCTCAAACGTCATGAGCATGTCGCCGCCGAGCCCAACGATTGTGATGATGACCAGAACGGCGTGGACGACCTCGAGCTCGATCGACTCGGAGACCACGTGCCCACACGCTTTCCCGGTAACCACTGCCTTCTTTGACTCACGACCGGTGCTCCAGCCGCGCTGACTGCCCACCTCGTCGCTAATGTCGACGATCTGGGCAACGCACGACGCGCGGATCGAGTACCGGGGCCCGAGCGGGTGCGACTTGATGATAGCATTTGCTCCCTCCGGGTAGCGTTGCGCGCTGCCGTCACGCCCAATCAGAACACGCTCAACGTCACGGATGATCCGGGTGGTCGAGCTGTCGTCGCTGTCGACATAAGTTGTCGTCGTGTTCATGTGTGTATCGGCAAAGACGGTTAGTAGGTAAGCGCCGTTGGGATAGACATCGTCGACAACCGTCCCTTCCAGTAAAATCATCCCCGCGATCGACTGACTGCCCTGTTGTGGGTTGCACTCTGGGTAGACATCGTAGCCCACGAGCATCTGGAGGGACGCGGGTGTCGAGTCGTTTGCGTCCGACGAGCATCCGACCATGCACGTGGTGACCTTCCATTTGGCTTGCGGTGGCACTTGAAGCACGTGCGCAAGCTGATTGCCGGTGGCGGCCCACGCGGCGGGCGTCGCAAGCAAGCTCGACTCGACGGACGAGCACGAGTGGGGGGCAAAGCCCTCGGAGGTGAGAAGACACGACTGCGCAAGCGGCCGCCACGCGTCGTTCTGAAAGTGGTACGTGAGGTTGCTGCGACGAAAAGCGCCGAGGGCGCTGAGGATGAACATGGAAGAGAGCGACCCGTAGATGGCCGCAACGACGACGAGGTTGGCGATGATGCGCATCCAGACGCGCATGCTATCGCGTTTGATGGCGTCGTACTTGCGCGTGGACGAGCTAAACGCACTACCCATGTTGGAGATGCTCAAGGCGGCGCTCGAGAGCGTCGACTGCAGCGTCATGGTGGTGCAAAGTGGCAGAATTGCTGTCCTTTCCAGGAGCCAAGCTATACTTATCGTTGTGAAACGACATGTGACCAACTGCTTGGACAAGCCGTCGTCGCATGATGGACGTTGGTCGAAAAGACAGCGGGTGATGGGTCTCGAAGCGGGACGTACTCGAGAGCTGCTGTTTGCACGAGATTGACGCGTGGAACACACACTGCAGCTATCACATCATCCGATTACAAGATAAGTTCTTAGCCAACACACGTGCCACGACCATATACATACGAGGTGGCGCGGAGCGTGTAAAGACATTGTGTGCAATGTGCCGATGATCTTGGGAGGTACGGGCGACACCAGCGCGGCAAGATGGCCGGCACGAAGTCGTAGAGGATGTCCGGACGATCGATGCGAATCCTGCAAAGCCAACTCAACCGAGGACTGGAGGTGAATTCAACTGGACTATTGGTGGTTCTCCGATCCAGTCGCAGAATAGGGTAGCCATACGACGCCGAGGTCCTTTGCGGTCTGTCCATGACCATCGACATAAGCAACCATGTCGGACAGCCTCTCGGACAAGAAGGCCACAGCTGGACCTTGACCGTTCATCGCAGCGACGTGAAGTACTGTTTGACCTGTCGATGTCGTCGCTCTCGCGTTGGCTTTGTGCTGGAGAAGACACGATAGCACTGGGATGTTGCCGCTGTGGGCGGCGCAGTGGAGCGCGGTGCGGCCATAATGGTCGGTGGCCTCGAGGTCTGCGCCGTGGGCCAATAGCATCGAGATGACACTCGAGCTCGCGCCGCCGAGCGCCGCGAAGTGAAGTGGCCGGCGCTTGAAGAGTCTCCGCTCGACGGCATTAGCATCAGCCCCGTGGGCGAGCAGCCACGCGACGGCGTCGGGCTGAGCCCGGTCGCACGCCCAATGTAGCGCCGTGAGCTTGTACTGGTCCAGCGAATCGACGGGCGTTGACGCCAGCGCGCTCTCTAAGACTGCCACGTCATTCTCGCGGGCGGCGTCGTGGAGCGGGTGCTCCGCTGTCTCGGTGTGCAGCGCGTCCATCCTGTGTTTCGTTTTCGGAAAACGGTATATTGCGCAAATGACGGAAATAAAAGGGTATATTGAGCCCAATACGGGAAGATGATGAAAAATACGGAAATAGCACAAAATATACCGTTTCTTGACGATGACGTGGCAATGCGCCGAGCTCAGCATACGCATGAACCGCGCGAGTGCTCATACGAGGTGCATCGATCCAAGCGCTTCTTGGAGGGTGGCTTGAGCTCGTTCTTGACCACGTCGCCGTATATCTTGGGCGTAAAGACGCAGGCTGGCGCCGTTGCGAGAAGCAGGTCGTAGATACTTATGAGATGCAGGGTTCTTTCGTCGGCCTTGGGCTTTGCAGTTGCCGTCTGCTGTGGCGTGACGCTTGCAAATCCAAGGAGGGCTTGCATGCTGGGCTTGCAAAAGAGACGATTGCCGATGCGAATGGCCTCGTGGCGGCCGAGCGGTAAGCTTGTAAACCAGCGGGGGAGGCCGCAGGAATGGAGGAACGTGCTGCCTGTCGCCCACTGCGCATCCACGAGCCAGCGATGCTGAAAGATGTAGAGCTTGCCACCTGCCACGCCAACGCCGAGTCCAAGACAACTGACCAACGCGGGGACAATCCACGGCAGCAAGTAGCTGGCCGCGGGCTCGACACCCGTCGTCTCGTACGCCGCGCACGGGTACGCCGTCCCGTTCAAATGCATGACGATCGTCGGTGCGCCCGCGTAAAAGAGGTTAGAGAGAATCTGCCACGACCCGTTGATGCTCAAGGCGATCGCGGGTATCGCCGTGTAGAGGAAGGTCGCGACCGAGACGGGCAAGAGGCGGTACCGCA